GGTTCTGTGACGTGTGAACACCCAAATCAACAACAAATGACCGGATTGGCCCAAATGGACCAATCCGCGGAGCACCTCACACACCAGGATCCCTTGGCAAACAGGGAGTCCCCATTGACTTAGAGCTCCTCCCTGAACGCTGGTAATAGACGAGTTGGTATCGCGGAGAAATGCTCTCCGCAGACCCATTCTCACAGCGTTATAAGCCTTTTACTTACTCAATGTCAAGCCACACTTATTGTTTTTACTTCGGCTGTGAGTGTTTGTGTGTGCTCAGGTGTGAGTTTCGCTGTGTCTCACTGTATCGCCGACCCGGAAACCTGTCCGCTCCTTGCAGCAGCGAGCCTCGCAACGTCCCGACCAATCAGAGCACACTGGGCTCACAAGCCGTTTAGGACAGAGAGTGAATACCTGGTGAATACACATACTATACAGAGATGCTGTATGAGAAACCAATGTGATTTTGGAAAATTGCACAATTTAAATCTATTCTAGTAGACCTCAACAATGGAAATATGATCAGTAGAAATGGCCATGACATGTGACCTTTAAGTAAAAGCATTTTATTTATTTATTTATTTTCTACTTGTTTTTATTTTCATTGGATTTGATATTGAGGTAATCCAAGAGTAACAAACTAATCAGGTTACATGTGATATTCAGATTAGGTTTCTGATTACATTTTTTTGACATGTAACTAGTTATTGTAATGGATTACATTTTTAAAGTAACACTCCCAACCCTGTGTTGGAGATAACTTACTTTGGGGGGCAGCTGTGAACTGAAGGTGAAAAAGTTGCTAGCAATTAGTGTTATTGTGTCACAGTCCAACACTGTGTTCAGAGCCTGCTAAGGGAACCCTCTTTTGTGTGTGTGTGTGTGTGTGTCTGTGTCATGTGTAGTGAATCAGCAGAGGTACACCTGTAGATATAAATGATGAAGGACATGATTGCGTTTGCAGAGCCACGGTGCCTCTATCATGTGTGCTTCACTCTGGGGATGGTGCTGATCCTGACTGGCAGCATTAGTAGGACTATTTCACCAATCAGCAGCTACTTGTGTTGAGCATGAAAAGGGTCCCACTGCAGAGAAAGGCAGAGAGAAGATAAACTTCTATTAGGCTTCATTGTGCTGTTGTGAAATATCTATTCCCACCTCAAAGCCATGCAGGCTCCTCCAACTGAGCTCTCCTTTTCATCTCAATGTGCAGCGCTGTGGGAGGCCCGGGCTCAGAACTGCAGCTGTTGCCTGAAAGGGACGCCTTCCATTAGCTGCATCTAATCTGAGCGCTTTCACATTACAAACATGTACAGCTCACGCACACACACAGATGTTGACATGATGCGGCAGTGGAACTCAAACACTTCTCTCTCTGGAATCCCCTTATGTTCGTTTTCCGTACAGTTGCTTTTACATGGCGCTTTTATCCAAAGCAACTCACAATAAGTGCAATCAACCATGAAGATACGAACTCAGAACAGAAATAATCATGCAAATAAACCTTTCTAAAGTGTTACTTTTCATTAAATGACCACGGTGCAGGTGCACGTCCACCATTTTGGAGCCAGGATAGCAAACAGTTGGGTCTAAATGGAGGGGTACCAGGGTACTCATTTATAAAACTTTGTGTAGGATTCACGTTAAAATCTTTTGGAAGGGTGAAACACAGGAAGTTCTGACACAAAGTATTTCAATACTATAAATAGTCTGTGAAACGCCTCACATTAGTACTCATTTAGACTTACTGCATGAAAGCGATCTTAAGTGACGTCGACAAAACTGCTGAAAAATAAATTTCACACCGTGTAATATAGATGTTCTTGTTGGGGAGGTGGAGACAAATTAATAATATTGTATGGTGTCAGCGGGCCTTACAGTGTCAGCATGTGGGCCCAATGTGGAAATGATAACCAAATGCTTTCAAGTAGTGTTTGCAATTATGTATAAAAACAATTGGGACTTTCAATTTATAAGAAATGTACATAGGATATAACCATGTCCTGGATGTGAGTTAGGCATGTCCCAGTGTCTTTAGGCGGATATGCTGATGATAGTCAGTGACAGTCTTAAAACATCCTGAGACACCACCCACCTCTCACTCAAAGCAGCCATACCCCCAATTGAATATTTGAATATATTGCCACAAAAGAACCAATAATTGAGCACCAACAATGAATCAATCTCTGTACAGTACAAGTACCCTTTATTTTAACCCAAGTTGGTTGATGCAGTGCTGACTATTATTTCTCCTTGCAGCGAAACCTGCATGTGTGTGGAGAATTAAGAATCCTGCAATATCAAGACTCACACATAATTTCTACATAACAGGACTTTAAATGAAACAGTTCCTGTCTCTACACCATGAACCACCAGACTCCTGCGCTAGTATGCGATGGCAATCAGTAGATATAACTTGTGACTATTTTAAGCAAGGTTATCATTTCAAGCAAGACAATGTTAAACACTGAACACAAGGTGTCAAATAAAATAGAAATCTTTATTAAAACAGACCTGAACACAACATCTGTTCTTTTCTAATTAGATGGACTATAACTTAAGATAGGCAGGTGTTTCTTATTTCATGTCCTCATGACATTCACTGGCGAGCACAGCAGGAAGGATAGCATCTTCTCAGTGTTCACCTGTGACTCAAACACCATATTTAAGGGGGGGAATGTTATTTATCCAACGACCACATTGTCGTCGTCTGCAAACTCATAGTATGGAACCTCCAGGTTCAGGGGGGCGGGGCCTTTCCTGATGCGACCTGAGGCATCGTAGTGAGAGCCGTGGCACGGGCAGTAGTAACCTCCGTAGTCGCCAGCATTTGCGATGGGCACACAGCCCAGATGTGTGCACACCCCGAGGACGATGACCCATTTGGGGTTGAGTACCCTGTCCTTGTCGTGCTGAGGGTCTCGCAGCTCTGCCACGTTCACCTCGGCTTCGGCGGCGATCTCCTTTTCTGTGCGGTGACGGACGAAGAGTGGCTTGCCTCTCCACTTGAAGGTCATGTTCTTGCCCTCGGGGATGTCGCTCAGCTTCACTTCAATCTTGGACAGGGCCAGGACGTCAGCAGAGGCGCTCATTGAAGACACAAACTGACTGACCACTGTCTTGGCAGCGTAGACCCCCACTACGGTTGAGGCGCCGGTGACAAGGTACGAGAAGGTTCTCCTGGACTCACCGCTCTCCTGGGAGGACTTGCCTGGGTCCTGCACCTCTGGACGCCTATAGTCAGTGAAGTCCGGTACCCTGACATCTGTGTGGGCAAATCGGACTCCTGCACAGCCTGTAGACAAAAACAAACAGCTCATCAGTTATGGCGCATTTCCACTGCAGCGCGTAGCACGGTTTAAGCTTGCCGTGCCAAACCCAGCCCGTTTTTTGTTGCGTTTCCACTCGGGGTAGTTCTGGCTAACGGGTACTTTTTCACAGTTTTTCTGGCTCTCCAAAATCCAGGTTCTTTCCGGGCCAACAACCGGGCTGAATATGCTAGCTAGTAAGAGAATCGCTGGCAAGGGGGCTACAACTACAACATGAACATATTTTACCGTGATTTAATTGTAATACACGTTTCAAAATGATGCCGAAGTAACAACATACTGATACCGGTTAGTAAAAACCATGAATTAATGCTTTGACAAGTCTGCAGACAAGACAGCAGGTGAACAACCTTTTAAAATGCGTTTTTTCTGAATGGAGATTGGCTAAGCTAACGTATATGCTCCGACCGTCCACACTCACAACAACAGCCTACAGACATAAATAAACCAGCGACTGTATTCACCATGACACAGACAGTCTGTGGCTTAACTTGCAGGTTAGACACACCAGTGAATACATGTGTAGGAAAATGATGTATACACTAGATTTTCAAAAAAATACACACTACAGTGACATCTGGCATTGTTTTTGTAAGACATTTTTACTTCCGCATTAAAAAAAAGCCTCCCCACGTGACCTCCCGCGT